CATAATTCTTTTCATTCACACCTTTAGACAAATGATTTGCATTAATTCTAGAAGTAAAGCACTGGATCTGCATAAAAAGCAAGGCAAGATGAGAGAAAATGAAAAGCTCCTGCAAAGAAGTTTGAACAACTTCTAAGGCATGAGCTGAGGCCCATTTAATGGTAATGAAATAGGTTTGTGGAGGCTTGGTATTATTTAGTTCCAGATGACTTTAAATAAGTTCAACAATGGTTTAAGTGGTAATGGATTAAATCAAATGCTTGTCATTTGCTGTGTGGATGCATGTGGGTTTTGAAGTAAAAAGCACTTCACATGCATTTATCAGCCCCAAATTCTGCAGTAGTTCTAGCCTGCATTATCCTGAGGAGGCCATGCAATGAGTTCCTGGAGCTGGGGGTTTGTTTTAATGTACAGCTAGGCAAAATAATGATCTTCCATTCTTTTAAAGAATGCTTTCCTGACTGATGCACCTCTCTCCCCCAGGAGGTCTTTACTGACTCACATTCCTGTGTTGCACATAGTCTTCTGTTGTCCTTTACTGGCAAACACTCTGCTATTGGCACTAACATGTCATTTTGCTTAACTCTTTGTTCTCATGCAGCCAGGTTACTTAGGAGAAGGAGGAATCCCAGAGTGCTGATATGGAAGATATCCATTGCATTTTTTGCCAGCTTTTCTCCCTACCTGCGCCATCATTGCATGTTTCTTCTAGTGCCATGGAACCGATTTTTTGAGGTGCCATCCACACACGTAATAAAACACACCCTTGGAAGTAGATGAGAACAACTGCTGGAGTTGGGAGGTCAAAGTGACAGCGAAGCAAACAAGTAGTTAGTACTGTAAGCAGAGGTCTGGACTTTCTACCTGCCTTGCTATGCTCTGATAGTACCATTCCTGTTGTTTCCTTTCTTCTGTGCCTTTGCACTTGAATGATAAGCTTTGTCCTGCCAGGGTTAGACTGCATGTTGGGAGAGTTCCTGTGAGCCAGGAGTGTGCCAGCCAGGCAGACTCTTCCTAACAGTGCAGCCATAGTAATTGTGCTTAGAAAAACCTTTAACAAGTTCCAGCGTGTTGACCAAAGTGCTGCTTCCAGTGGATAATTGGACAGATGGCTTGGATTATATAACTACCATGCCAAGAATGAGGGATCAAACCAAAGCTGCGGGGCCTGGTAATTCACACTGTTTACCATGACAGCGAGTACTGGTGGGAACCTGTCTGCACAAACTAAGAAGAAACTGCAGGGTCCAGGAGGTAGGGAACTAGTCTGGGAATGAGGACTGCAAAGCAGCAGCATGTAGAGCCAGGTGCAGACTTGAGCATCCATATGCCATGTGCTGATT